TCCCAGAAAATGTTGGTTTTGGGAAGTTTTTGATGAAAATGAACAATTTCCATGGAACGACATTTTTGTGGAAAAAAAATGGTATTTAGCTGAGAACCCAATTTTCCATTAAAAAAAAAGTTTCGGTGGAAAATTTTTGACTAGCCCTAATTGTGAGGTCCCTAACATACCAACTGCTGTAATAATAAAATAAATAAACAAGTGACATGAGAGATGAACCGTGTTGCAAAGAGACAGGTCACTTTACTGTTGGCTTCTCGTTGCATGAACTCAGGCAGAGGGACTTTCGCATAAAAAGAAAAACCTTGAAACAGAGAAAATGCCAAGACTTTGAAAGCTCCTAATACCTTCAGTCCCAACTCCCCATGCATACACTCCAGAGCCATGCTCTTTGAGGACTCTGAGCCAAAATTCATCCCTGGTGCAACTTCACTGAAACTTGCCTCATATCAATCTCTCTAGTATATGATATTTGGGTAATTACTCAATGCCCTTTTGCTTAACAAACCAAACTTGCTGGAGTTGAGAAACTCTTATCACAAGTTTATATAAGAACTGTAGGCTAGTATGCACTTGTATCACAACATAGATGACATATGGTTATATTATGGTAAGGTAAGGTAAAAAATAGATGGTAAACCTTGTAACAATAGATTTTTGCATATTACACTTTCATTTCTCTACACCTGGCTTGCAATCTAATATATATGGTCTTAGTTTAAAGTCTATAACAGTTCTATAGTAGTTTACATCACAGAAATATACCACACAAAGCAGAACCAGTCGCACTCATAAAGGTGCTTTAGAGCAGTGGTTTTCAAGCTATGGTCTGCAGACCCCTGGGAATCCGCAGACTATGTCTAAAATTTCCAAAGGGGTCCGCATCTCTATTTGAAATTTTTTAGGGGTCCACAGATGAAGAAAAAAAAAAAAAAAAAGGTTGAAAGCCACTGCCTTAGCGACAGAAGGTTGGATTCCAATTGCACTTTAGCTGGTGTAAATCAGGAGCACCACCACGGATATTAATTCAGTTACAGCAGTCTAAACCTGTACAAAACAGCAATCAGGTTCACATTATCCAACCAACAGTGATTCTACAATATGATTTTCTTCTATTAAGTCTCTAAATTAAATCCTTTGCACTGCTTTGAAATCTCAACTCAAATGCAGTTTTAAAAGAAGTTAGAATATAAACAGTAATCCTCAACTGTCCCTATAAAAAGCACTTAGTACTTTTTGGAGGTATTCAAAAATTCATTCCAGAAAGCATTTTCATCTCTAGTCTATTGAGTTCAGATTCCAGGTTTTAATACTATATTTTATTTGAAGCTAGGAAAAATAAATCTGTGGCCAATTACCTTTGAATAAACCTACTAACTATACTGCCCACTGGATATAACCACTGTAAAAATTACATTTGTTGTGAATGACATGCTACAGTGTATTCTGAAGCCTTCCAATACATGATTGGCAGTTGGGGCTCCAATTCTGCTAGGTGCTGAGCATTCCCTGTGAAGTCAGTGGGATTGGAGGCACTGGGCAGATAGGGAAAAAAATAGGATATGATAAATTTGTATTACTTAGGGGGGATTGGCAGGTATGAATCCAGACGGACAAAGAAAGGGAATACATTCAACAGGCAAATACCAAGTTTTGTGAAGCCAGCTGCTGAAGACGATCTGATAGGGAGGTATTCAGGAGGACCAGGTATCACCACAAAAGCCTAGATCAACTGCATCATAATACTATCAATTCATAATGTAAGAGTCAGCGCCCCCTCCCCCCCACACACACACACACCCATACAGCACATTCCTACACTTAACAGAACGATGCATTTTTACTGAGGGTTTTTACACGATAAATCTTAGGGGGGGGAAGTCAGACTGGTGTCTATGCCACCAGACGCTTAACTACACAGAGCTGCAGCACTTTGGACGTGCATTAGTTTTAAGGACCCTATCACCAAATTAAATAAAACCAAGCCATTGTCGTGCAAACATTCCAGCCTCATCCAGAGCACTGTCACCGAATCAGCTGGCCTGTTAGCGGCTCCAGCGAACCTTGATGAGTTTCTCTTTCAGGTCCTGACCCAAACCTCAACCCATTGAAATCGCTGGAAACCTTTCCGCCGACTGTCATCGACTTTGGATCCGGCCCCAAGCACGGAGCATTTCACTCCTCCAGCCTGTAATCTCCAAAATACTCTTCTCACTGGGGAGTGAGAAAAGAATTTTGGAGTCGATCTCAAATCCTTTTTTTCTGTATTTGGAGCAACTAACTGAAGTTAATTTTAAGTCTTTAGAATTTCAGGGCAAACACTTTCACTCAGTTATTTTAATCACAGGAGTACAAAACCCATTTATAAGGCTACCGTGCCAGCTCTCTTTGCATTCGATAGCATTGGTTTGGCTACTTAAGGGTCGCAGAAACACCAACACGTTACACATAAAGGGTTCAGGACACAATCTATAGCCGAAGGAGGGAATCATTTCATCATTGCTCTTCATGTGCTGAGTAACAGCGGAACTTTCACTGCCTGTCCAAAATTCAAGCACCACGGCTTTCAGTTTCTCGAAAATATATTTGTTCAATAAACCTCAGTTTATTCCCTTGAAGGATCTCCCCCGCCCACCCCCTTCAGAGATTCTGGCAGGTAGGTAACCTCAAACAGTGCTTAATTCCGATGATTTCAGTGGGACAATTCGCGTGTTTATAATTAAACACCTGCCTACATTTTAATACAATTGGATCATAAATTATTTCTGCAGCTATTGACCAGATTCTGCAGTCCTTGCTCAGGGAAAACCCGCCAATGAATCTAATGATGTATGTCGCCCCAGTAAACCCTGCAAAAGAAATTGGCAGATGAAAAGGACTCCACTCAAAACAATCCGTAGAGCTCCGATGAATAAAATGCTGGGCCCGATCCTGCGCTTACTGAAATACACAGTAACACTTCCAGTTAACTTCAGCAGCAGCGGGATCGGGCCGACTGACAGCATGGGACACACACGGGCTTTTAATATGCACATTATGCTATAACTTTTTTAATCCACTGTAGGATCTTCCCATCTGTGCGCTCCACTTTAGACTGGAGAGCGAGGATTAAACAGGGAAGCGTGTCTTACTTCACAAGTGTAGCACTAAATTGTTTACCTAATACCTGGGGAGAGGGGATGGGAGGTGGCAGCCGGCTGAGGGTAGCGATTATTTCTCAGGCTCCCCCAGTTCTGATGCGTGGTCCCCGTTGCTGGGGGAGCCTTTCCGGAGCTCCGAATGGAGACACGCTAGCAGGACATCTTGAGGGGAGCTGATGCCGCAGCGGCTGGAAGTTCAGCGGGGGGCGCCCCAGCCCCCGAGTGTCCCCGCGACCCAAATCCTGTTGACTACCCGCCCTGCCATGGGGTCACCGCCAGCTGCTCCACAGAGCGGGGCAGCGTCGCTCCCACCCCTCTTCTGACCCGACCCCCGCCCCGGCGCTGCTGCCACCGCCCCCTCGGAATAGGGCGCGAGGGGCAAGGAGCAGCAGCAATTGCTGCGCCCCAGGCATGCGGCCCACCCGCGAGAGGCGCGCTGCCCGCGCCTGCCCCAGCCCCAGCTGGAAGAGCCGGCGCCGCTCCATCCCAGAGCGCCCCGAGCCCCAGCACAGGTTCACCCCAAGGAAGCAGAAGCCAGGACCGGGGCTAGCAGCCTCAGAGCACACTCGGGAACAGCAAAACCTCCCCCCCCCCAACCCAATCCTCGTGGCTAGGGAGAACCGGGACCGGGGAGCCCCCCCCCAAACAACAGTCCCAGTAGCACTACAACCCGCGAGGCAAGGGAGAAGCAGGGACCGCGATCCCAGTCAGCAGCCCGGCCCGGGCCCCCCCGCGGCCCTTCTGAGGCAGCGCAACCCGGAGCTGCTTAACCCCCTGTATCCACATGGCAAGAATGGATCGGAAGCGGGGAGGGCGATTTGAGAGACCGCGGGCCTGCAGCTCACCTTCCCGGGCTGAGAGGCAGCGCTGGACCCGGATTTCACAGCATCCGCGCCCGGCGCTGTACACAACCCGAGTTTGATCCCCCAGACAGACCGACCGACCAGCCACACCCCCCAGGCCTCTGTCACTCTGTCCCCAATCCTAAATAATCTCTCCACTATCACAACCAGCCTCCACCCAATAGCTCAATCCTCTAATAATGTCCCTCCTCTAATTCCCTAATAATCCCCCAATATCTCAATCCCCTAATATCACCCCTTCTGTAATCCCCTGCTAATCCCCCATCACCCCCAATATCCCAATCCCCTACTAATCCCCATCTCTCCCCCCAATATCCGAATCCCCTGCTAATCCCCCATCCCCACCTCCCCCCCCCAATATCCCAAACCCTTACTAGTGCCCCAGAGCCCCCAAAATCCCAATCCCCTGCTAATCCCCAGTCCCCACATCTCCCCCACTAATCCCCCATCTCTACCTCTCCCCCAATACCCCAATACCCTGCTAATGCCCCAGACCCCCCCCAATATCCCAATCCCCTACTAATCCCCCGTCCCGACATCTCCCCCAATATCCCAATTCCCTGCTAATGCCCCCAATATCCCAATCCCCTACTAATCCCCCATCACCACCTCTCCCCCCAATATCCCAATTCCCTGCTAATGCCCCAGACGCCCCCATATCCCAATCCCCTACCCCCACCTCTTCCCCAATATCCTAATCCCCAATCATCTCACCCCTATATCTCAAACACCCCTTTTCTCTAATCCCCTACCGGTTCCCTCCCCCAATCTCCCCACCATCCCTCCCCTCTCACAGCAGCACCACTCTCGCCCCCCTCCCCAACCTCTCAGACACAAAAAGAATAAAAACTACCGCCCATCCTGGCTGCAGGAAAGAGAGTCATTATTGCAGCCTGAATCCCGCGGTGGGGAGCGCACCGTCCGCCAGCCCGAGTCCCCCCGCATGACACAGCCGGGCGGAGCCGGCAGACCAGGAGAGCAAGTGACGGTGCCCTACCTGGATGCAACATACTTTGGAAATAGAAGATGACCAGGATAAAGGATCCGAAGCAAGTGACCAAGACCATCCTGCAAATCCTGTTCATCCTCATGACTTCCATCAGAGCCTGCTTCATGGCTTGGTCCCGGGGCTGCGGGGCAGGAGCACAGGGGATGGGGAGCCGGTTCGCTCTCTGCTCGGAGTTGGGGGTGTGGAAGGAGCTCGGAGCGCACAGAGATGCCTGGAAGCCGGCCGGCCGGCTGCCTGCCTGGCGCCTCCTCCCGCTGCTGCTCTGGGTGACGCCTGGGTAGCAGCGCACAAGGGCTACTTCATTGGGCTGGGTGGTAGTCCTAGGCTGGGCTTTACCACTCTCCGCTCCAGGGCCGGGGAGGGCGGAGGAGTTGTCTGCGCAGAGGGAAGGAGAGAGCCGGAGCGTACTACCCTGTTCAGAACATGGTCGCGTCCAGCTGCTCCCTGGCAAGGCTGCGGGCTTCCTCGCGGTCCCAAAGCCACTCTCATCTGCAGCTGCTGCGCCTGCTGCATAGGGTTCAGGTCAGTTTCCAGGTCCAGGGCAAATTAAACATGAACCCGCTCTGCGTGGACTCCTCCGGACGGTCAAAATGACAGACTGGACCTCTACATAGAGTGTTTCCGCAGACGTGTACAGGCTGAAATTGTGGACAAACAACATCACTTGTCCCATAACCTCAGCCGTACAGAACGCAATGCCATCCACAGCCTCAGAAACAACTCTGACATTATCATCAAAGGGGCTGACAAAGGAGGTGCTGTAGTCATAATGAACAGGTCGGATTATGAACAGGAGGCTGCCAGGCAACTCTCCAAGACCACATTCTACAGGCCACTATCCTCTGATCCCACTGAGGAATACCAAAAGAAACTACACCATCTGCTCAAGAAATTCCCAGCTACAGTACGGGAACAAATCTACATGGACACACCCCCAGAACCCCGACCAGGGGTATTCTATCTGCTACCCAAGATCCATAAACCCGGAAACCCTGGACGCCCCATCATCTCAGGCATTGGCACTCTTACAGCAGGATTATCTGGCTATTTGGACTCTCTCCTCAGACCCTACGCTACCAACGCTCCCAGCTATCTTCGAGACACCACCGACTTCCTGAGGAAACTACAATGCATTGATGTTCTTCCTGAAAACACCATCCTGACCACCATGGATGTAGAAGCACTTTATACCAATATTCCACATGAGGATGGACTACAAGCTGTCAGGAACAGTATCCCTGATGAGGCCACAGCAAGCCTGGTGGCTGAGCTTTGTGACTTTGTCCTCACCCACAACCACTTCAGATTTGGGGACAACTTATACCTTCAAGTCAGTGGCACTGCTATGGGTACCCACATGGCCCCACAGTATGCCAACATTTTTATGGCTGACTTAGAACAACGCTTCCTCAACTCTCGTCCCCTAGTGCCCCTCCTCTACTTGCGCTACATTGATGACATCTTCATCATATGGACCCACGGAAAGGAGGCCCTTGAAGAATTCCACCTGGACTTCAACAATTTCCACCCCACCATCAACCTCAGCCTGGACCAGTCCACACAAGAGATCCACTTCCTGGACACTACAGTGCAAATAAGTGATGGTCACATAAACACCACCCTATACCGGAAACCTACTGACCGCTATACGTACCTACATGCCTCCAGCTTCCATCCAAGACACATCACACGATCCATTGTCTACAGCCAAGCCCTAAGATACAACCGAATTTGCTCCAACCCCTCAGACAGAGACAAACACCTACAAGATCTTTATCAAGCATTCGTAAAACTACAATACCCACCGGGGGAAGTGAGGAAACAGATTGACAGAGCAAGACGGGTACCCAGAAATCACCTACTACAGGACAGGCCCAACAAGGACAATAACAGAACACCATTGGCCATTATATACAGCCCCCAGCTAAAACCTCTCCAGCGCATTATCCATGATCTACAACCTATCCTGGAAAATGATCCCTCACTCTCACAGACCTTGGGAGGCAGGCCAGTCCTCGCTTACAGACAACCCCCCAACCTGAAGCAAATACTCACCAGCAACTACACACCACACCACAGAAACACCAACCCAGGAACCTATCCCTGTAGCAAACCTCGTTGCCTACTCTGTCCCCATATCTACTCTGGCAGCAGCAGCAGAGGACCCAACCACATCAGCCACACCATCAAGGGCTCATTCACCTGCACATCCACTAATGTTATATATGCCATCATGTGCCAGCAATGCCCCTCTGCCATGTACATTGGCCAAACCGGACAGTCCCTCCGCAAAAGAATAAATGGACACAAATCAGACATCAGGAATGGTAACATACATAAGCCAGTAAGTGAACACTTCAATCTCCCTGGTCATTCTATTACAGATTTAAAAGTCACTATCATTGAACAAAAAAACTTCAGAAACAGACTTCAAAGAGAAACAGCAGAACTAAAATTCATTTGCAAATTCAACACCATTAATCTGGGCTTGAATAGGGACTGGGAGTGGCTGGCTCATTACAGAAGCAGCTTTTCCTCTCCTGGAATTGACACCTCCTCATCTATTATTGGGAGTGGACTACATCCACCCTGATTGAATTGGCCCTGTCAACACTGGTTCTCCACTTGCGAAGTAACTCCCTGCTCTCCATGTGTCAGTATATAATGCCTGCATCTGTAACTTTCACTCTATGCATCCGAAGAAGTGAGGTTTTTACTCACGAAAGCTCATGCTCAAATAAATCTGTTAGTCTTTAAGGTGCCACCAGACTCCTTGTTGTTTTTGTAGATACAGACTAACACGGCTACCCTGCAAATAGATTCCCACCGCCACGGACAAGCTAAAGTGGAAATAAAATTCCAAGATGTGGAATCCAGATGCGATGGTGATGGGCACCATACTGAGGGGGGGAGAGCATTCCAAATTCACTACCCCTCCCTGAACGAAGCCTTGCCGTCTCTTTCCTGGACTTTCAGCAGTGCAGCTCCTAAAGACTTCAAGGGCATGAAGGGAGGTAGGGCTAAGTATTACCCTGTGTTCCAGGCCCTTCCTTTTCAGTCTTTATTTTGTTTAAAATTTCCTGGGAATGTATCAGATTATTACAAAAAAAAAAAAAAAAAAAAAAAAACAGTGCAAAAAATAACTTCAGTTTTCTGGGTAAATATCAGGATTAGTGGCAGACAGGAGGGCAGAAAATACTTGTAGAAAAAAGTAAGAGTACTGAAAGTAAAGCAGTTTAATGCTGTGGTTTATGTAATGAACTGTACATTAACAGTACATACACATATGCACACAAATATGTGTGTCTCTTCCCCTACATTGCCTTACTTTTTAAACCTATTTACACAGACTAACTTATTAGCATAACACATCTACCTAATGTAATGGATCTGATTTTCTTAAGGTAAGTGATATTTTCACATACATGAGTGGTCTGAAATTTGGGTGGAAAAAAAAAAATCAGTAAAAACCAAATTGTAGCTTTTTTTTTTTTGGTAAAGCCTGAACATTTTTCACTAAAAATCAGTAAACTGAAAATGAAGGGCCTCACCTCTGTTGCACGCTCATTGGCATTTGAAGAGGAAGGCACAAATCCTGCCCTCTGTTATACACTGTCGCACTGAAATCCATAGGAGTGAAGAAGTGCAAAAGAGCAAAATTTATCACCTCTTCTGTGGAAGTGCAGCCATCGCTGGAGTAGAATGTCAGATTATGTTTCAAGCTGGATGCCCAAGAACTGTTAGCCCCAAAAGTGAGTAATGATTTTTGTGTATATCTCACCAAAGATAGAAAATAATTTATCTGAATGTTTGTGTTGATAGATCAGATATGGTTGAGGTACTCCTATTAGAAGTTCATTTGCTCCCAATGATTTGTATTGTTTATTATTGCTTTATTAAGTGTTCAGTTACACAAATGAAAATAAAGTATTTTATCACCAATGACTGAGGGCTTTTTGTGCCTGTGTGGAGGGGGGGCAGTAGCTTTTTCTATTTTGTGACACAAATATAAAGGGGGGGGTATTTTCCCCCCTTTTTCCAAGCTTTTAGATCCAAGATAAGATGTAATGCAAAATATCCTACAAAACCAAAGTACATCCTAATATGTAATAGATCAAAATAACAAAACAAAGTCAGCTAGCAAAAATTTAAACCAAAGCTTTCAGGGTCCCAATTCAGCAGAGCACTTAAACAGCTGCTAACTCTAAGCACCTGAATAGTTCCTTTAATTCCAATGGGTGGGAGCCACTATGGTGCTAGAAGTTAAGCAGGTACTGAAGTATCTTGCTGAATCAGGGCAAAAGTTCTCCAAGTTTAAGTGCTATTAACATTTTCTATGGCAACATTTCCCAGCGCCATCACCTCCCTGAAATTAGATCTGTAGGAAATAGAGATCAAAGCATTAGAAACAGATGGCTAAATTCTCAGTTATACCAGTGCAACTCTATTGAAGTAATTGGAGGTTAACACAGATTCGTGTAAGAGAGAATTCAGCCCAGCATGTTTTTCTAATTACCTTAAATGTGAAGATCCATTGCCTATGTTTAATTGCTTGGTTGGTGTAGTTATGTTGAAAATGCATTTGCACACTAGATAGCCATGCTCCAGGGCCCACCCACATATTATTTTTGTGCGTTTGTTCACACACATTGTAGATTGTGTGCTCTTAAGGGCTACCTCTTGAAAACATGCCAGGGCCATACCCTCAGAGCAGAAGGAAGAAATTCATATTAAGATACTACAAATGGCCTCAGCAAATAGCCAGTGTAGCTTTAAAATATGCACCTATCAGTACATGAGCTGCATTATGATAGCAAGTACAGTACACTCACAGTGGGAGAATTGGACCGTGGCCAGGAACGTGGTGGGAGGAGGTAGCCCAACAGAGAGACGCTCTATGCTTTCTCCCAAAATTGAAAGCAAAACATATGGGAAGAGAGAGAAAATTAATGCGGCTAGAGGCAAAGATAAATTGCTTTATGGGTCTTTAAAACCCCCATTCAGTGGGTAGAGTCCAACACATGCATCTGTTGTCAGGCAGCATGACAAGAACGCCAGCTATGCTGCCAGTGCTGGGGGGAAGGACAGTGCACAGGCAAAGGAGAATCACTCATACTAGGACTGTTGCCACAAGGTTTCAAATGCCTTTACCTATGTGTAAATTTCAAGCCTTGTCCATGATTCCCTCTGGCAAGAAGCCTGATGTGCAATTACAGTGTGACAAGGCAGCCTATTCTCTGAGCTTTTGATGCCAGGGATCTCTTT